AAAACGACATTCTTCGGCTAATCTCCTGGCTTAGGTTCAACACAAAGGCTCCATTTAGACTGCAGGCAAACTGGGACCAAATCTGATTCCTTTGCTTATACGTGACTTCGTAACACTGTAATAAGCACTAATCACGTGGAATCAATTTAAATTGGAGCCACTTCAGGTCAGATTTTTTGCAATGCAACCACAATCTGAGGAATCACACTGGAATTCATGCAACATTCAAGCCGCTCTAGATCTATATTTGTGACACTTTGGCACTGGTGGGAGTCACACGGGGCTTCTCAATCAACAGATAACTGGCTTGTTTGCCTGTTTCGTTCAATACTTACGGAACCACAAACACCCTGTATTGAACCGCCACATTTCGCCAACTGCACCGGTTCCTCGCTCTTTTGTGGTTTTCGCAAACTCCTCAGCTTGTTCTGCGTACATTTTTCTTTTCCTAGTGGCGCCGTCGAGCTACATCTTGACACTAAAAGTTGATTTTGTTCGAAAGACAAAGCGACAAACTCCTTCTCCATTTTGCTTTATTCTCACAAGTTTTGGACACACCAATATTTCAAGTTCTGAACCAAAATGTGCATTTGTTGAATGAGAACTGAACCGGTTCTGCGTTAGTTGAAAAGCCCCATCGATAAAACTGTGCTAATGGAGGACTTCACAAAAACCAAACAGGTTAGAAAACGTGCAGTAGCCCGTCCCTGTTGCTAGTCAATGAAACACAACTCGGTGTGCTTTCTCACGGAGATGGGTTGCCTGAGCTTGCCTGCTGTCAGAGTCTCATAGAGGGATGCTCACACATCCTCAGATTTCGCATGAAATCCGTTTCAGCGAAGCCATTCCTGCAACGAAACCAACACTTCTGGCTCCGACTCTGCATCGACACACACATCCAGAAATAAGTCGCGGCTATTGTTCCTCAAATTAGTTCCACAATTAAAAATCTGGCTCTCACTCTCTTTGTCCTCATCACCATCTGCTCATGGATTCATTGGCTGAAACCGCACATCAATTTATAAGTGAAACCATAAATGCTGACTTCAGCGGCCTCCGTGTCTACTCCCATACAACAGCGAGCTGACAGCTTTGTTGTGGTTCCTTCGTGCATGCAGGTCAGTTCTGGACTGCGACCAAGTCACACTGGAATCTGATACACACTAAAAGAAGAATAATAATGTCAACAGCCAAACAGAATAATTGAATCTGAGCAATAAATCCAAATTGAGCACCGGGGCTCTCCAAGCTCTTATTTTCACACGGTGCACAGCTCTACCCTTTAACATTGGCACATTTCTTTTTTCTGTTTATCCACTGTGAACGCACTTCCCCTGCTGATACAATAACATATTTATAGCTCTTATTGTGTTCACGAGTTAAGCCTTGCGTGCCACCGTCGCCAAAATACCAGCAGCTTATGGGTAAATCCTATGAGTCGAAAAGGAAAGGCAAATAAAGAAGATGCAGAGGACCTGAATGATGCAACCTGAATCTAACACAAAAGAGGACAAGCTGAACATCTGCCCTGTCTGCTGTATTAGTACTGACTGAGTTCACTTTAAAGAACCACAGAGGCTATTCTCAGGCTCTGGTGCATCCTAGTTGTTGGACACTATGGCCAATTTTGTCTGGCTCACTGATGTGATAAGCACTTAATGTAATTGTGACAACAGTGAGAAAGGAAATAAGGCAGAAGAGCCAGGAGAAGTATAGATTATGTGCAATCCTATAGTGCTGATGGAGTATACAAGCGAATTATCAGATTTTATTAATCAAATAATGGCATGTGTAGAGGAACAGAACCACCGGGCAAAGAGCAGGTGACTACCAAAGCCTCACTCGGCAAGACTCCAGGCAGGAATGTGCTATATCTTAACAGAGCAGCTTCCCATCCTGAGATATACCATTTCCAATTATAGCATAATTCATCACCGCAGCAGCTGATCTCTGCAGAAATCAGTCTCAAAGGGAAATGCGCTTCCTGTCCCCGAAAAACTTAAACAAGACTGCATTTATTACCCGTGGCTGCAGTGACTCTTTATAGCGGCCCACGCGCTTTTCAGACAAAGCCTCAATTCTTAAAATTAAAATACTATGAGAAACTCGGTCAAGACAAAGCAGCCAGCACTGCAGCAGATTAAGACAGTCACACGGCAAGGAAATCCCAGCGCCTACAGACGAATACATGCATGCACATGTACCTTCGATGCAAAAATACTCACACAGTCCAAGCAAACCTGTTTACCACAGACAATGCCAGCGTGTGTGCACTAACTTCTATACACACATAATAACCATGTGATGCTCAGATGGTAGACGGATGACATGCGAACTAGGTTTTGTTTACTTTCTGTCTGACCTAGTTGTCTGGACTGCCAACCCCGGGGCACAGTACAACCCAAATTTATTTCCTAAACGTCTCAGCGTCTTAGTGCCCCACCTCAAAAACTGGGCAATCTGACAAGAGACAAACAGGAAAAAAACAGCATGTGTGTGTCTGTGTGTGTCTGTGCATGAGTGTGTGGATGGAATGAGCTGGAAAATGGCAATGACTCAATGAAACCGCAAATTCCTCCTGCAAAGCGTAAACATGTTGGTATTGTCTGCGCGTGGCGGCGACTCCACGACAAACTGTAAGCGACACACTGGTGGCAAGCCGTTTAAACGTGTACCAATAAACGTTACAGATACCAACAAAGTCATTTTGGCGAGTTGTAGTTACACTCTGATTACCGTGAATGTTATTTCTATCTTCACCATACATATCTCTACTTAATTAATAGTTGCAGATATGCCAAACGTCACTATGGCTGGCCCAAATTATTGTATACGACGCTACTCCTGCAAGTTTTTTCACTGGATGTTGATCGAGCAAAGCAGTTGAGGAAAGCTAGCAAAAGGAAAAAGATGGTTGCTTTTGTGGATCAGATTGTTGAAACAGAAAGTGCTCATCGGCAGGGGGTTTCTAGAGAGCTGGAGCTTTGTTCATTCAGGACTTGTGGTTGAAATTTAATAGAATTCGGCCTCGGGGTTGCTCTCACATGGCGGTAAAACTGCTTGTCTTATGTAAATGCTGCTGCTGCAGTGCCACAGTATGTTTGAAAAGCAAGCCGCTCCCACCTCCCGACTCTCGCTCCTGACACAGCTACAGATTTAGGCAACATGACTTTGCCCAGTCAAAAGTCCAATTCAGGATGTCTGTAATTACATTTCGACTAGTCATAATTACAGCTGCGGATATCTATCACAGCTTTCTGACGAGCTCAAGCTCAGTTTAAGATATCTAAAAAAAGGACATCTTGAATTGACAGAAATTAACTTGCATTAAGACTTGTGGAATTACACAGGAGATATCTGGAACTAAAATTACATACAGTCATACTTCAGCTGCAGATATCTGCAACGTAAACGACCTGCAGGTGGATTGTAGATGTCTGTAATGGGAACCCCCGTACACACAGATGGTAGTTCTCGATATCTGAAATGTTCTTTCAGAACATGACGAGGATGAATTGATTACATACAATACTCAGGCTCACAATCTGTGCACACTGTGAACTCTGGATTGCAAACCGAGCAACGATGTGCTCCACATATTGATTTAAAATAATGTGACAAAACTCCTTTGTCAACAGGGTAATGAAGAGGCAGTTACCTATGTAATGAACCACGCATGTCTGGCCTTTCTTTGGAAATGTTCTTCCTGTTAAAAAGAGAGAAAGGAGAAAAAAAACACTGTTATGGTGTGATTGTGCACCTCTGACACTGGCAGCCTAATCTTGTAATTAGCAGTGACTAGTTAAGTCTGGTGAGGTTCTCTTGGCAGGGATGCCATAAACTCCTTATGCCTGCAGACATACTAAAGTAAGACAGCATCTGTCACCTTCCCTCTCTCACAATAAAACTTCAGCCTGGAGACTGTTTTCCCACAGCACAGGGCTATCAGATGCATCTAATTAAGCTATTAGCGCCTTATAGCTCACCTACGCCTGGTTTATGCCTTCACTATGTGAGCCGAATGTGTGGAAACACATGAAATGCTATCCTCGACTGCGCATCTTCCCCGTCTGCCAAATGTAAACGACCCTGTAAGCGAAATCCTAATTTAAAGACGCTTGCAGATGAAGTTTGGCACCGATGCAAGTGTGGAGAGTTCTAGAAAGGTGCTGTGCAGGCGTCTGTGATGATGAATAACAGTAAAATAAATAGATTTTACAAACCACACTTTACTACTCTGAGTTGCAAACTATCTAATAAGCTAATTTCCTCACCTGCTACCTCAAAACTTGACATTTTACGCACATTTAATTGATATTTAACAAGATTTGAACGACATTCTGGGGAGCCCCACCACCACCACCAGCAGCAGCAGCACCACCCCGCATCAAAGCACACACACAGGCGGATAAATCAACTTACCATCACCGGGAGATATTGTCTCGACTTCCACGCCCATGGTTGTGCTACTTCACGGATCAGCTATAAAACATACAGCCCCGAAAAAGACCCCTTTTTTCTCTCTCTCTCGCTCTCCAGCCGGAGTCACCCTTTAGCGGCTACAAGTCGGGCTTTAACGATGGGAACCATGCAGACACGGAGCACTGCCGACCCGGAGCTCCCAGCCAGCCGACAGACTACCAAGATATTTTCCGGTTAGCGGCGGGAGGCGGCGTCGAGAGCTTCAACAGCCGCACGTACGTCGTCTTCAGCGCGGTCGGACTCCTGCGCCACACGGTGGAAGTCCTGTAAGCCCAAGTAAATTCATAAACCGTATGAATTTTAATTTTAAGACCATAAATATTTTGCATTTCTTTCGCAAGCTTTTTTTCTGACTACAAATAGTAAAAAAAGAAAAATAGTTAAAAAATAAATAAATAAATAAAATAAAAAGACGGGTGCGATTCAACTACATATCCCATAATGCACCTAACGTCTCCGTTAGTTTTGCTTCCGGGTTATTCAAAAATGAACGTTAGAGCCACATTTTAACCATTTTAACCGGCAAAATGTGAATTAGTACGCAGAAAATTCCCCTTCGGTGTTTTATATGGATTCCGCATGAGATGTTTTTGGTTTTATAAGGTATGTTTGTATCCATTTTTACGCTGATACGTTGTTAGCCCCAAGAATATACGTGTATGTTAACTTAGCTAGTGTTTCACAGTTAGTATGAATTGGTAAACTTCTGCCTCGTTTCAACCACATATTCAATAAAATTAATCCTCAGTATACTTAAAGTCTATCTTTATATACTCTACAAGTATTTTGGCTTACATATTGATGTGATTCAATATTGAGCTGCAGCAATTAATCGATCTATTGAAGTGATTGCCTACTATTTTGATAACCAATTAGTCAGTTTGAGATTTTTTTCAAGAAAAAAATAGTCTAAATTGTAAATATTTCCAGGTTTTTCTTTTCTGCTGTGTGACAATAAACTAAAAATCTTTGGGTTGCGGACAAAACGAGACATTTGAGAATATAAAATTGTGTTTTTTAAGACACCAATGACTTTTTTCGCTATTTTCTATTCATTTAAAGAGTAAGCAGCTGCTTTATTAATCAATAAAATGATCGTTGCAGACTTAATTGTATATGGTGTCTTTTCTGTTGACATCTCAGCTTCCTAAATGTAAATATTTTCTGATCTATTTTTTGGGTTGTGGACAAAACATGGCATGTGAGGACATACTATTTCACTTTTGGAAACACTGCTTGACATTTTTCACCATTTTCTAATATTTAATGACACAATTTATTGACTTGTAAAATAATTTCTGTATTTGTGAAGGTTAAAATAATTATTAGCTGCAGCTCTAATTGTGTCTGATTCCTTTTCTGTTGACATCTGACATTTAATGAGGATAAGTAATCTCTATTTGATAATGAGTCTTCCTAATGTCCCCAAAGTGAACCTGGAAGTTCCACCAGGTTTAAAAAAGTAAATGCTGTGATGAAACACTCTAATCCAACACATAGTATTAATATCTTTTAGGGCTGTAACTAATCATTGTTTTTCATTAACGCTGCTGATAATTTTCTCAATTAATCAACTAGTAGTATATTGTATGAAATGTCAAGGAAAAAATGAAAAAGGCCAGTCGGGGTTTCCCAGAGCCCGAGATGACAAATGTCTTGTTTTGTCCACAACCCAAAGAAACATTCCTGTCATAGAGTAGGACAGAAAACAGAAAATATTCAAATTTTAGAAGCTAGAATTAGGGAACCTGTTTTATATAAACTGATTAATTGGTAATATAATGGTTAGTGCTTAATTGAATAGGTGGTAACTAATCGATTAATCAAGTAATGGTTGCAGCTCTAATACCCTGAGGTCCTGAACCTGTGTGTTGTTAAGGTCATCACGCGGTAAGCAGCTATAGGTGTTCGTCACACTGCTTCAGCTCAGGCAGGGGGGGATTAAAGCAAGTACTTGGAAGGAGACACGAGAGGCTTTTTCTATTCTTAATCTGCATAGGTAGCAATAGCTACTCTTGTTCCAGCCCTATTCAGATCACAGACAGGGCTCTGGCATAAATGTTAGCTTTTTGAGTGACTTGTTTTTTTTTTCCTTTTTCAAGCTTCTTCATACCTGCCAGGATGGATCTTGGTAAGGCTAAGCTGATCAGGACTGGTCTCAACACTCTGCACCAAGCCATCCACCCTGTGCACGGGATTGCCTGGACGGACGGCAAGCAGGTCTGCCTGACGTCGCTCTACTTCATCAATGGGGAGGTGAAGTTTGGGGACACTAATGTTATCGGGCAGTTTGAGCATGTCTTCGGGCTCTTCTGGGGTCCGCTGTGCTGCTCAGACTCTCCCGCTTTGCTGGCCGTTCAGCACAAGAAACATGTTACCGTGTGGCAACTGCAGCTCAGTGCTCTGGAGCAGAACAAGCTGCTGTGCACTCAGACCTGTGAGATGAGCGAGCCTTTCCCTTTGCTGTCTCAAGGCTGCGTCTGGCATCCGAAACTGGACATTCTAGCTGTGCTGACGAAGAGGGACACGTCTGTGCTGTTTTCCGTGCGGGTGGACAACAGGAGAATCAAAGCAGACATCAAAGGTAGCGGACTTATTCATTGTGCTTGCTGGACTAAAGATGGCACTCGCCTGGTGGTGGCTATCGGCAGCGCTCTTCACTCGTACATCTGGAGTGACATCCAGAAGAGCCTGGTGGCCTGCTCCTTCTGCCCCATCTTTGACGTGGGGGGCTACATCTGTGCCATCGAGGCAACGGGGGAGGCTCAGGTGGCCGTGGCTACAGAGCTGCCTCTGGATAAATTATGTGGGTTAAATGCAGGCATAGCCTTTGACATGCCAGCAGAGCAGGAGTCCCTGCACGGCCACGGCTCGCATGTGGTCATGTCAGATGACGACAGCGTTCTGGACTCGAGGAGGAGATCATTTGAATCGGAGAGGTCTTTCATCCCCAGCTCAGGTCCTCTGGATCTCACCCACCTCCTGGCGAGGCACCGTCGCTCCGACCCCAGCCCCCTCATCCACCTGCGTCGCCGAGACACCGTGACCGGCTCTGGCCAGGACTCCTCGCACCTCATTCTGGTTACCTACGACCGAAAGGTCACTACCACCCGCAAAGTCAGCATCCCAGGGATTTTGGTCCCCGACATTGTTGCGTTTGATCCACGTGGCTCCACAGTTGCGGTGGCCTCCAACACCTGCAACATGGTTCTCGTGTACTGCATCACGGCGTCTGCGATGCCGAACATCCAGCAGATCTCTCTGCAGGCAAACGAGAGGCCCAAAGGAGTGTGCTTCCTCAGTGACAAGATGCTGCTGCTGATGGTGGGCAGGCAGAAGTCCAACGACCCGGCCTTCCTCCCGTCTTCCAACACCGATAAATACATTCTTCGCCTCATTGCCAAAGAGCTGATGTATGACGGAGAGAGTTCTATCACACCATCCCCCTCTGCTCACCATGTGTCCACTTCTAATTTCTGCGCAGGGATTAGGAGACACTCAGAGCACCTGTCAAAGGATGACAGGGAACGCACAGGGATAAAGGACTTGGTGTTGCCTGGAAGGGGCATAGTTTGTTCACCAGGGAACAGGCGCAGGCTGGTGGAGGAGGTGAGGAGCACCGAGCCCAGCCCCGTCACCAGCTCCGTGGACTTCTCTGACCGAGCATCAGACAGAGCCCCGTCCAGTGCCTCTTCCATCACGGTGGAGAACTTCGACATGGACCACGTCAGCCGAATGTCCAGCCTGGCGGTGGCCGGCCAGGTCAGCAGAGACTCCAGCCGGTGCAGCTCTCCTCGCTTCGAGCCGTCCGATAAACTCCACTCGGAGCCGACGCTGCCGATGCCGGAGAAGACGTCCAACGTGGCCAAAGAGCGCGCGCTGGAGCAGCTGGTTCATAACATGGAGAGACTTTTTACTCGCTTTACAGAAGTGCAGCAGTGCCTGACGGAAATCAGAGATTATACCCAGAATGGCAAGAAGGCCCTGACTGTCTACCCCAATGCCACTGAAGCCCCTTATGTCAATGTCACATACCAGGTACAGTTGTGCTCACTACGGTTTTCCTCTGCATTTATTAGCATTCTCCAGATTAAACATATCCAAGGGAAGTAAGCATTAACAGTGAGTCTGTGTTCCCGTATTTGACAAAAATCTATGCATGTTTTTTTGTTGTTTTTGAACCATTTTCTGAACAAAAATGCCTATTGTGCTTGGGGAAATGAAATCCAGGCTAGAAAAACTAGTTGAAACATTGATCTGGTCTTTTAGTTCCCCATTCTTATCGTTTTGGCAGTGCTGCCATTCCCTTGGCGCTGGCTAAAACCTCTTTGTGATGTGTTCAAATTTCTATGTAGGAAAAACCCAGATTTCCACATTGTGTATTGGGCACTGTTCTGCTGAAATAATAAACTTAGCAACTCAGAAAGGGAATTTCACAGTTGTTTTTTTTTTTGCCGCATTCCTTGTCGTGAGTGGCTTTTGCATGACGGGGATGCAGTTTAATCAGTTGCATTTTTACTCTGAGGACCAGACAAGCTAAAATGCACAACACCTTTTTGCATCACTATTTTCTGTCCCTTGTGCAGAAGCAGTTATCGGAAAACGTGTTCATCGACGAGCGGAGGCCGGTGCTGCTTTGTGACGGCAAGCTGTGTCTGCGCGCCCTCCAAGACCTCTTCAGCCTCACCATTGTGGAGATGATGTATGGTACGTGCAGAACGTTAGATCTGAGGTCAAGAGGTCAACGATTGCAGTATGCAGACAATCGGTAACAATGGCGAACTCATCGCTGCATCAGCTTTAAGATTTACCGGCTGTTTGTTCAGTGTCATAAGTCTATTTACACCCTAAAAAGCCACACTTAAGCAGTATCTAAGCTGCCTTTGTAAAAGCCTTCTGTGTGCCTATGAGATTAGCTGTGTGGTGACACAGCGCACACAGGGTCGGCTAATTGAAACCACCTCGAGGAAACTGCTTGCAGCCCTCTTAGGAAGGCTCCCTGGGCTTCCCCGCTGAGGTCAACTGGAAGTCAGTGACTACATGTTTAAACCATCTGCATTTAGCTGGTTTTTTTTTTCATTTAAAGTTCTTTAGGTCCTCCACTCGCTATGTACTTTAACTGACAAAGAACCTTACGTTTGCTCTTATACTCATAGATGCGTGTTCTAGCATTGTTCTTCTATTAACGTGCCTAAGCTATAATTGGAAGTGATTAAAAGCCTAGGTCAGATTACAAGGTTTAAAACAAAAGCAGCTTAATGTGCATAGTGTTTTGTTGCTGTCGCTGCTGCAAAGACAGGCTGCCCTGAGCTGACACCAGCAAGCTGTAGCTGTCACGTATTACAGTTTGCAGTGTTTTGGCACCTAATTTGTTGGGTATTTAAGCGATATTTGGAAAATCCCGCTTAGCCATTGCTCATGTGTTTTTTGTTTTATTTCCAGGACCATTGTGGATTGTACTCGTGGCAGATGCAGACGGCTTTGTGCCCTTGACGTTTAAGCCCAAAGACGAGCTCACGGTGCGGAACGGGAAGCGGAAATCGACCCTTCGGACTCCTGGGAGTCCAGAGAACTCTTGTCCAGCCAGTCCAGCCCCCAGCCAAAACCCCAACACAACCACAGAGGCCTCGGTGTAGTAGTAGCTCCTCATGCAGTACGGACTCCTCAATATACCAAAATGTATCCGAGTGGTTCACAGTGCAAACACAGCCAGTGTGGCATGAACATGCAGTTGGAGCCCGACCGATTCTGGATTTTTGGGGCTGATATTGATGACAAATTTTAGGGAATAAAAACTCCAATGTCAGTGTATCAGCTGATACTCCTTATAGATATTTACATACCTCATGTTAGAGTGATATTGAAAAGAAAAACTGATGGGGTAGGTGTTTAATAAGCAATGGATTTCACACATGAATTAGAAGACACCACAATGAAGACACCACTTGACTCCGCACCACCATGTCCTGGGATGTAGTACCTACTCTGCTCCAGGTGCTGCAGACAGTGCTGAGAGTATTAATAACAGTATTCTGCTGGACAAACTATGCAACGAGGCATTTTCTAAGTTACCCCAAGAATCTTTTCTTGCATCATGTTCTGTTAAAAAGATTCAGATTTCACATAAAACAACATGTATGTCAACTCCATTATGCAATGTCAGCTGATATCGGTCGGCCTCGAAATTCTGTGACGCACAGAAAACTTGTAGTTATCAAATTTATTTTTGTATTGAACCTCAGTATAGATGTGAAAAGGGCTGCTTATGTAATGTTTACATGTTTGCTGCTTTTGAATGGAAGCTTAACTAAAAGAAATTGAATCAATGAGCCACATTTTCTTTTCTTTTTTTTTCTCATTTTGACAAAATGCAGTGCAGCTTTGAGTGTTTTAGGGATGTTTGAGACGTGTTTTCCTCGTGTCCTGGCACAGGAGCAAATAGAGGCCAATGTGTGAAGTAAAGCACGGCAGAAACTTGTGGAAATAAGATGTGTGAAGTTCAGATTTTGCTCCTAAAATGTCTGGTTCAGCATTTAAATGCACCTCAAATGTCTTAAATTCTAACTGACCTTGCTGTGCAGTGTAAAGGACGGCCAATCTGTTCATGACAACACAACTGAAGCACTTTTACCTCCACGTTTGTCACATTGCAAAACTCAGTTCTACAACTGCCCACAAGAGGGAGCAACGCACAACAGAATCTCTGAGTCTGTTGTCAGGATTGTTTGTGAAGGCCAAAACAAACTATTTATGTTCTGAATATTAAATTTGCATAACCAGCACTGGGTTTTTTTGTGTTACTTATTTATACATAGCACCACCTCCTCAGCAAAGAAACACAACAACCACACACTTATTGTCTACCAATCAATCTCTACAACATTTATTGATTTCATGTCATCAATCCTTTCTGGAATCATAAATAAATAACGGTGTTGTAGAGCTAAACACGGCAATTAATGATATACATTCATTTATATAAATTAGGTAGTCTTATTTTATATATATATATTTATATATCCAAGATGACTATACAGTACATGTGAAAATGAAACAAAAAATGTTTACATTAAAACAATTTAACTATTTATCAGTGTAATATACACTAAAGAACAACCTTCCAGCTGCATCACTGGAATCCGTGGCTTTTTTTTTTCTGTTTTTTTTTTTGTGAAATTCACTCCATTCAAGATCCAGGTCACACATTACTCAAATCTTCCACAGTTCTGGAGCTGACGCTTTGATTCCTGTGAGAGACATCAATATCAGTAATGTTCATGTAACTTGTCCATTTTTCTTTTTTTTCTTTCCCTGCTTCTTTATACTTTTCCTGGAGCTTTACAGAAGACATAAAAACGACCGTCTGCCAAACAAGAACTTAACGTGTCACAGGAGGTTAAAGCTGTTCCCTCAGGTGTCCGTTTATGATTTCTACACACCGTAGCTCCTCCAGGCAGAGTTTATTCCTGAGCCGTACGTCTTCGCTGATGGGATAGAGGAGCAGGATCATTAACCCCGTCACGATGAAGGCCACCGGGGCGGCGCCAATCAGCAGCTTCAGGGTGTAGACCACGGGAGCGGGCTGCTTGCAGGCGCCGGTGTCGTACCCTGCAAACCTACACACACATTAAAACGCAGGTTACGGGAACATCGACCTGAAGCTGCAGCAAATGAGCAAACTCGACACCTCTGGCGTGATGAATTATGCATCGGAGCTTGGGGTTAATGGGTTTTTCTTTTTTTTTTTTAAGCGAGGTATCATGACACGCTAAGTGCAGATACATTAATCGGGGGACTTACTCCAGGCAGAGGGTGGACACTCCCAGGGAGATGCCGGCGGCGAATTTAGTGAAGAAGACGTAGAAGGAGTAGAAGATGGCCTCGTGGCCTTTGCAGTAGGGGTTGGCCAGCCTGAAGTCGTCCACCACATCTGGCAACATCGACCTGGACACACAAACAAGCAGATTTTGTCCTGAATGCCCCTTTGCTCTTCTTGCACAACCGGCCTGACGATGTGGGGTCTACTTATAGAGCCCTGATGTACCGGTTGGGCTAAAATTGCAGAGCTAAGAACACGATTAGATGATGAGCAGCGGGCGGCACCACCGGCTTCGGCCCACTGGCAGGATAAACAATCGGGCCCGTCCAAAATAAACATGCCCCCCTCCGAAGGCTGTAATTTGAGGTTCCAGGGAGGAGACGGGAGACGAGTGAGGAGGTCATAGAAACGACTGCAAAACAGATGTAAAGATACCTAAAAGCTCCTTGATGCTACACGAGCTTTAAAGTACCACCTGTAATTTTTAAGAATGACATCACTCTCTTGACCGTGACTTGACCTGATGGGGATTTCTGGGCAACAAATCACTGCTGGGACTTAAATAACAATAATTAGCATGAAAGGAGCTGCAGGATAAAGTCTGAATGTCAACAAAGTCAGAGCACTGCTGGGTTTTGAACATTATGCGGGTAAAAACCTGCACTGGAACTTCGCACACATGACTTTTTTCACCAAGTTAAAGAAACAGAATATTCATATTTCACATAATAAGCACTATAAGATTCAATCACCACTAAAGCAAATAAATAAGCTTGTAAAAAACCAATGATCATGCTTGAGAAAAATAAAATTAAAAGACATATTTTTCCAGAATTTTTTCTATTTATTTGGCTTTTTTTTTCTAGAATTTTGAAATACAATAAAATATTAGCAAAATTATAAACATAGACTGTGAATTTACATGTATAATGTAAAATAACTAGAATATATATATATTTTTAGGGAAAATTAAGGTTTTTATTTGGACATAAAAGTAAAATAAATAAAAATAAAATATTAAATGCTAAAATGCATTATTGTAATATTTCCTTTTTGTTGAATAGATTAATCTTTTAAATGCTGTAAATATAGTTCTAAAATTACACACAGTTAATGACAGAAACAAAATTCACAGTTTTTTTTATTTTTGATTTATTATAAGTAATTTCATTATTTTTATGCATGTACATATCTCTACATATATTCAACCTGTAAATGATTTTTCAGAATTTTTCTTGAAATATTTACATTTTTTGTTGTTTTTTTCTCCTTGTTTATACAGTGCAGACTTGTCATATTGATGTTTAAGTTAAACAAAAAAAAAATCTGCCCATTTTCTCTCCTTTTTTGCTTTTGTTTTCGATACTTGAAGCCAAAACAAATCATACTTTACGCCCATTGAGTCTCACCATGGCAGCAGAAGTGATGCAGCCACACTGAGTCCAGAGGAGACCGCCACAACGTAGGCCACCACCACGTTAGGAATGAACACCAGCATCAGCGTGAAGGGCATGATCCACTAAAGGACACAAACACAGGAGAGGGAAAAGTTCATATTGTTGACCTGACGTGTGGCTTCTGAGATTAGGACGCTCCCGAGTTCATCCACAAGATGGCACAAGCAGTAAAGTTCAACAGTAAACGCTAGCAGCTATGAAAATAAAAACCAGTCCACTCACTGTGATACCACAGAAAGCGGCCGTCTTCTTCCCGTACCTCTGCAGAAACCATTGCCACAGCGGAATGCTTATCACTGCAGAAACCTGATGGGAAAGGCAGATGTGAGGAGAATTATTTCACATGAGACGCTGAAATGAAATGTTCCCTACATAAAAACATGTGGCTCATCTAAAGCAGCTGCCATGAAGGTGAAAGAAAGTGTCCAGACAGTGAGATGTTTGTGTTTTTGTGAGGCGAATCAGAGCAAGACCTCACCAGGATAGTCAGCACAATGTTCTGGAAGTGATCCCTCAGGTCGGCAGCGTAAGTGCAGAAGAGGACGAAGTTGCTCTGAACCAGCTGCAGAAATCAGAGGATCAAACATTCAGAGATGCAGCCCGGTCTTGTCTACTCAGCACTGTCGCTGTGCACTCAGCTGGCTGCCAAATGAAGTGACTGGAGAAGCTGCTGACGGTGTTTCGCAGTGATTTATTCCCACTCGGAGGCTCGACACGGATGACAACTGACACCTCCTCAGAGATGAGCGGGGCGAAAAATATACAGAAACGGATCCCGATGCAAAACTCTGCAATAATTTAAAGAGCCTTTAAAGCGAGGTGTCGAGACTGTGGCGTCTGTGTCGGAGTGACAGGAAAACAGCAGGAATGTGCTGCTCGGGTTTCGCTCTCAGGAGTCCCAGAGACTTAAAACACGCTTTAAAGCAGCAGCTTTCAGTAAGTGCTCTTCTGCATTGATCAAATCAACATTGAGCGTCGTCGGGATCCAGGACTGGCTCCGTTTACTGTAACGCAGGGTGTCGTGTCTGAGAAGTGCTTCATAAATGCATTTACCTGAATGGCGACAGTGATGAAGAGGAATGCGGCGGTTAGAGTGAGGTACGGCCCGTGTCTCATCACCAGGATGAAGGCCTGGTGGAACGGGATCTGCTTCTCGGTCTTTGGGGCATACGGATCTGAAACAGGTTACATGTGGAATAAGAATATGAGCACGCAGCGGATCGAATAACATGCAGTAAGGGAAAGGCGATAGATGGGCTCTGGAACTGCCCCTGCAATGCAGTGGAGGCCGTTTGTCCCAGTGAGAGGTGTCATTTATCGTGTAATAACGATCAGACACAGTGTAATGAGCTAATGCTGGCAGAGTTCCAAAGAGTACAGCATGTATGAGGTACATATGGGGAGTGTGTATATATAAAACATACAGATATACATAAAGATGCAATAAATGCACCTCATACTGTAAATGAGTAGCGCTGTCACAGTGTCACTGTAAAAAATGAAAAAATTGTGTTTACTTGCTGGTATTTCACAGATTTTCCTTGTTTTTTTTCCTTGTATTTTTATAATTTCTGATTATCTTTGACTGTATTTCAATCAGCAAAAAATATTGTTATTTTACTAGTTTAAAAAAAATGAGAACAAAATCAGAAAAAATAAGAAAAAAAACAAGTTACAGTTATTTACCATTTATTTGAAAGGAAAAATATGTACATTAAGGATTAAAAAATGGTCAGTTTTAACTGTTATCTTACAGATTTTCCTCTTTTTTTGTTAAATTACAGATAATAACTCGTAAAATCACAGAACAATATTTTAATGTATATGTTAATTGCAAAAACTTTTTAAAAAGGGGCCAAAACTGTCTAAAAATAGTGTTTTTTTGTTTTGTTTTGTTTTGTTAGACTATTTGACTGTAAAATTACACTATTTGTTTTTACTGTATTAAATAAGAAAATATATATATTTACAGATTTATGCCACTATTTTGAAGGAAGAAAAATTATATTCGGGATTGAAAAATGGCAAAAATTTCAACTGTTATTTTACAGATATTCTGTTTTTTTCACAACAGATAATATCTCGTAAAAGCCACAGAAAAAAGGTATTATTTTTATGTTGACTGTAATTATATTGTTTTACGCTCATTAATATCATTATTTTTTAAATCAGCTGCAAAATGTCATTATTTTAAGGATATTTGCTGTTATTTTCACTGTTTTTTACAGTTTCTGTTACAGTAATACAGAATGGGAGAAAAAAAGAGCCCAAACTCGCAGCCTCAAGGCCAATAAAATACAAAAATCTGTCATCTGCTCTGTAATTGATCAATCAGCTGCTACAACTTGTGAGTCTGTCAATCAAGACATCAGTTCAGCATCGTGGGAGGTTCTCACCGTCTCTCTCTTTGACTCCCAGGAACATCACCAGCGTGCAGATGACGAACACTCCTCCGATGACGCCAGCAGCGATCATGTAAACCTCCTTCTGCAGAGACAAACACCAGGAGCAGCTCAGTCTACGTCCGTCCGTCCGTCTCTTCTCACACAACAGTCTATTCTGAGGCTTGCTGCAATCTTTAATTCATAATGTTCTCAAATGCCTGAAAGATTCAAGGGCTTGGTTTCAACACGCCATACGTTCGCTCTAGGTGTCGGTTTTTACCCTGAACTGTGGACACTTTCTGTTTTCTTCAGATCTTCCTTTTTCCTAACACTCATCAGAGCTTGATTTATTGCCTGCGACTCTCTGTGTGGACTTTCGCGAGCTGCCGTTTCGCTGCACAAACACAAGCATAAACAGGAAGAAACCTCAAGTAGATCTCTATCCAAAAATACCGTCCGATGCCGTACCCCGACAGGAACTGCTCTGCCTTAAACAACTTCTGTTTGTTTGCTATTTTTCCGTGCGGCTCAGCCCCAGCGGTTCATTATTATTTATGCACATCAAACACTCCCTGTTTCCGAGGGCAGACTGAGTTTGCCCAGACGGTGTGCCACCCTCACCAGCGACCACGAGAGGAATTTAGCGGGTGGCTGCCGGAGGGTTTGGCCTGGCCAGCGGGTCGCCCCCGATAGGGTTCACCCAAAATCCATTTGGAAAAGAAACCCAAATAGCTGCGGCGCAAACCCTAAAGTTTGGACTCTGGGCTTGTTTCATCTTCACAAAAAAAAAGTTCCGTCCCGGCAGTTTTTATTCACAGCTCCGCAAACTGAAGTGCTCAGAAACACTTCCCACACGTTGAATCTGCCTTTGAGCGTTGGGGGTGTGATATAAATAGGCCTAATGACTTGCAGGCTGTGGAGACCCCTCGGTGCAGCGGGGGCCACGCTTTGGAGCCTGAAGGGAGGAACCCCCTTTTTGTGGTCAGCCAGGCTCAGGATGTCGGGTTCGGATATCAAACAGCGACGTCTCCTTTCGATCCCAAGCCATTTTGGATGAACCTGTAGAAAGCCTGCAAATATGGAGCCAATTTCCAACAATCCCCCCTTTTCATTGGACCTCGCAACCGCCCTGCGCACACGGCTTCACGACAGTTATTTTCAAACTTTGGCCTACTTTGAGCGCACCTGGGCTCCTGGTTCTGGAGCTCTGACACTTACAGCGTGTGACAGGTAATCCTGGGGGCGAACCAGGCTCTTGACGACCTCCGTGCCGCTGCTGTTGCCGGGGTAACCGGCGGACATGTTGTGAGTGGGGCAGTGCTTCAGAGTGTGAGCGCTGGCCACGATCTGGCCCTGGATGGCGGCGCCCACCAGCGTCCCCAGCACCTCCATCGTCATTCCTGTCGCCACAGATCGGGTTGTCAGAGGCAAAGCTTCACAAAGCACGCACAAAGGAATATTTTTTAAAAAGAGGCCTTACGGTAGGCAGTGGCCGAGTCTCTTTCCTTCTGGTCTGTGCTCAGGAACATGGTGAGGGCAGAGTAAGGCACGTGGAAACACTGCAACGGAGCAGAAAGAGTCGGTTAATTCTCGGGCGAAACAGGAGTAAATACAAGTCTGGAAACAGCGGCAGTGAAAAGTCGCAGAAGTCCCACGAGGAGGAGAAGAAATAATGAATGAATTTAAGTTGTGGTTTTATTTTTAGTTTAGCCGGCGGCTTGTTTCTGAGGATGGAAGTGACAGTCGGTCACGTTGGTCCAGACCAAAATATCTCAACATCTACTGAGCGGGCCGCGGACATTCACGGTCCCCAGAGGATGAATCCTAACGAGCTTGGCCATGAGGTCGACCGTTCTGGTTCTGGATTAAATGCCTCGATAACAGGATAGCAGAAGAAAACGTCCTTTAAATAAGAGTCCTACTCATGCAACAGTAGATAGTTATGAGCAGCAGATCTGATATTTTCCCCAAATATTATTATAATTTGACTGACTCCCAATAAAATAAATGAATTTATTGGAGAAACCAATTTAGGGCCCGATTGGTTCCATGTCAAGAGTAATAGTCAATCAATCCTTAAAGATAAACCCTAAAGAGCTCTATTTTTATTAAATACATGGAAGATATAAATCTAAAAAAGGGTTTTTAGTGAAGTTTTGCATTGGAGTTTGTGTTTTTCTACATTTCCACACCAGATTTTAATTTCGATGTGAGCGTACACCAGCTCTAAACGCCTCCTTGATTGACTAATACTAAAACAAACACATCGTTCGACTCCTACTGTGACTGTTACACGCAAAAAAAACGGACTCGCAATCAAATGAAAGCCCTCTCGCTGCCTTTTATCGACGTGTTTCCTGCAGAATGTACACATGCTGTAAATATACCAAAAGCAATCTCTGCAGTTTCCATGTCGGCCAAACCTCAGATCTGTTTTCTCCTTCCTCGCCACCACCTCTCCCAGAGAATAGCCCTGCTTCACTTTGTAATTTACACAAGGGCTCAGTCAGCACTGCGGCCAAATGAGCATGCAGAGCCGCAACCAAAATAAATGCGGCCGTGAAAAGGATTTTTTTTTTTTCTTTCTTTGTGCAGCTCCTATACAGCGTGTGTCATTTTACTGCATGTTTATAGAATCCAACCTGCTTAACCGTGGGACGCAGATGGAAGTGAGAACGGCTTAATTTGGACGCAAAACCGGTTATTAGTTGATTGCATTTCCAGTGACGTATTGCATTCGGCCTCGTGTTTACAGACTGAGTGATAACAGCTGGTGTTTCCCAGCAAAACTTCACACAAACACACAAGCGGCAGACAATGAAGGAGAGGTGGGGGGAAGCTAAAAGTGGCAACCGGCATTTACCCAGCGAGAAGGTTCCTGGCAGGGCTCACCGTATACTTATCAAGTAGTTAGAATGACATGCCATTACAGCTGGCCGCAGTGTGGCTGCAGCGGGCTGCACGCTCCGTAGCACATGTTATACGGGTTAGAGAGGGAAACAAAGTAATGGTCTGGAGCATAATAACTACACCTAAATAACTACACTTCCCCTTTGAGGCGAGGCGTCTAATCTGCTCGCAAATCAAAGGCACGAGATGACTGCAACCGTCTTTGTTGTTTTCATCCGTCTGTTACGCAATGTGTTGTCTGCAGACACGATGGGAGCTTTCGTCTCCTCTGTCAGACTTACAGTGATGAGGGTTTGGTAGAGGCAGTAGAAGCCCAGATACCAGATGAACCTGCCGCCGTTGAAGGGAGGAACGAACCAGAGGTAGAAGTAGGAGACCACCAGGAACGGAGTGCAACCCACCATCCTGCAGGGAAACAAACATGCACAAATGTTCATGCACAAATCTCGTTTTGCAGCAAAACAATCGTTTTCACAGCAGGACAGAGGCTGCGTTATGTAACTTGTCATAGCACCGTTAGAATGAGGCCATATTTCAGGCAGATTACAGCCGAGGGGTTAAGCTGACTGCTAAATGATTATGTTGTTGTAAGTATGGCAGGAATCTGTCCGGGGAGGGACGCGCAAACAAGGCAAAACACCACAATATGTCAAAGCCGCGCATACCGTGGAGACACACGAGCGGACGCAGCGTGAAGCCGTTCTGCTGCGTCGCGCTTTTTTCTCAGAACTCGGATGATACAGTATGTGGGCCATGTATAATTCATAAGTAAACAACCGGTCCGTGTCATTATGGTCGACGTGAGCAGCTGCAAAACGAGGAGGAAAAGAGCACATTATGGATGATCAACGGTTTGCCGCCAAACGCCGATGTATCATCATCATCCTCATCATCATCATCATCATCCGCCCTCTTCCTGCGTCCCTTTAACCCTCCGAACCCCAAAAACCCACCGGCGGGTTTGAATGGCATGTTGTCTTCTAAAAGAATCACCAAAATTACAATATTTATCAAAGCCAGAGAGTGTAAAAACAGAAAGAATCGTGTTTCCGACGATCCTCGAACTACTCATCTGTGACACGTGGCTCCAGCTGAACCGAACCGAAGCTTAAAGTCACGATATGTCATCAAAATCACTTCATTCTACACGTCTCGTTTAAAAAAAAACATCAAAAATTAAGTGTTTGCTCGAATAAGATTCTGTGAAATACACAAAATTCTTTGCATCAGACAGCCAGGTTTCACTCAGCCGTGACCAACAATCTCACAAGAAACAATTCAGGGACTTTTCAGCTGAACTGCAGGCAGTGTTTCCACCAGAGCAGACAGGAGACAAGTGTGAAAATTAAAAACTAAATCATAAAACAGATGTAAAGTCACTACACTTTTCCAGTACTGCTAACAGCTGTGGGCACTTGCAAAATGTTCTGTATGTTATTTCCAGGTGTCTTTTTAAATCTTTGTGGGGTCGTTCATCTCAAATCATCGAGTTTTTAGAACAAGTTCCGCTCGACCGTTTCCAAATTTGCCTGAAAATGGTACAGCAAGAATATGGATATTAAAAAAGATGTTTTTCGATTTTTTTATTTGGTGCATCAAGTATTTTTTGAGATAGAACATAAAAAACAAACAGTTGCCCGTTGACCCACTTACAGCGTGTGATTTTGCACATTTAAATTTGAGCTTGTGTTTGAACGACAACATCTCAGGAACTATCAAAGATAAAAGCCTGAAATTTTCACAGTTGTTTCTCTTACATGTGGGAATAAACTATATTTTCAAGAATCTTAGTTATATTTGGGGAACCATTTGGAAACTCCAGATGTCTGATGTGTGCTCAGAGATGAGACTCCTCGTGACAGCTTCATTTGTTTTTCATAATTCACCCCTAATTCGAGATTGTTTGACCTACTCGTCCAGTATTGCAGACTCTGAATCAATGACACGATGAGAAACAACAGTGAAAACTTCAGGCTTTTATCTTCAATAGTGTTTGAGATGTTGTCATTCAAACACGACACATAAAGTGTGAAAGAATGTGCTGAAAAAGGGTCAACAGGCAATTTATTGAAGGAACTGTTTTGAAAATGTATTTATTTAGAAATGAATATTTGATATATCAAACTATAATGTCACAGATAAAAATGTAAATATCTATAGCAGGGGTGTCAATCTCAAAAACACAGTGGGCCAAAATTTAAAACCTGAACAAAGTCGTGGGACATCATTGAACAAATGAACCTTTTAATATGGACCGAAACAGATTTTGCTTTAACATTGAATATGGAACAAGCAACGCTTATTACCATACATTATATATAACTTAATAGTGGAGACATGCAAAATCTAATTATAAATAAAAAAAACACATCAGTGGCACAGTGACAGTTGTAGTGTGAAGTGCCTACTGTCACAGAGGAGAGGGAGTTTCTGGGTCCTGTCCTGATTGACGTGCCAAAACAACAACAGGGCATTATGGGATTTGTAGTATTAGCGGTGAATGGGCTGTACAGTATAATACCGGGGGCAGCTCTAGTAGTCATTTGGTATTGTCTCGCCGGCCAAATATAATTACAAAGCGGGCCAAATTTGGCCCACGGGCCAGAGTTTGACACCCCTGATCTATAGCGTATGAAGAGACAAGCAGTCAAGCAAATCAGCCCCTGATTGTTTGAGATGGAATAACTTCAAATTTATGGCATTCTAGCTTTACACAGGAGATATTTGTGAGTTTTCTCTCCTTCTAGTCGTGGTTGTTCTGTTTCCATAGAGGTGCAGGATCTGAGTTAAAAATGAGGCCACGGTGAGTACAAATGTGACAGGAGTGGAAAAAAACACCCAGAAACAGAGTCTGTTCAGACGCTGGAATGGCTGTAATTCAACTCATCTACAGGTAGAAAAAAAAAAAGAAAAAAGCATCCGTTGGAATTTGGGCGAGCGCGACAAAACTCCGACCTCTGACCTGCTGCACGCCGGAACACAGAGAGCAGGAGAAAGCGGCAGAGAGGGGCCGGTTACAGTCATTTCTAGCATCATCCAGGCCGCTGAAACCTCCCTCTCCTCCCGATTGTTCTCGCTGAAACAAAGGCGGCCCGACAACGCTGGTGCTGCAGTATTGAGTGCTCGGTCATTGGGGGGAGCTGAAAGGGCCCCTGAATGGGGACGGTTAGAATGTTCCTGCAAGATGGACGCGTTGGGCGGGTTGAGGATGCGGCACAAAAACGCTTCCTGGCGCCATTATGCACGCATGGATACACGGTCGCACCTGTCCCCGAAAAAATCTGCACAGCCTTAATTAAAACGCTTGATAAGAAGCTGCCACTTAAAATTCCTCTTCTAGCTGGCTGGTTGGGGACATCTGCGGAATGTTAATTAGACGACGTGCGATGGGGCAGCAGGGATTTGGAATGAGGTCTTGTAGGTGAGGATGTGCTTTATTGGCTGATGTTAGGCTTAGTGGGGGCCGTACATCCCAGCAGTGCAAAGAGACTTAGAGAATGTAGAAATTACAGAGTATTCGCATTTGACGGTATATTTCCACAAGTATTCTCAGGTAGATATTGTCCTTTTTTCGTCCTACTAACATGTATTTGACAGAGAATACTACTAAATGTTAGGCTTCCACTCCTACACGTCTGACTTACAATAAACTGTTTTATAAGAAAAAAGGATCAAATCTGACATTTTCGTTCAACAAATTATTATTTCTTGTCAAAACCAGGCGCCTACGTTACCCACAATTCTCAGCAGTTTAGTTGTGGACAGTTAGGAGCTTCTTCTAGGAACTTTATATCACAAATATATTGACATAAAGTAACTGAGTACATTTACTCACGTGAAATTTTGGGGCTAATTTACTCGAGCGTTTCCATTTTACGAGATATTTCTTCTGCACAAACATTCTCAGGTAAATATTGTACCCTTTATAATCTACTACATGTATTTGACAGAGAGCTCTGCTAAATATTGGGCTTGCACTCCTAAACTTCAAAACTGTCTGACTTACAATAAACAGTTTTATTTAAAAAAATAATTAAAAATTCTCATTTTCATTCAACAAATTCTTCTTTCTTGTCAAAACCGGACGCCTATGTTACCCAGAATTCTCAGCAGAAGTTCAGTTTTGGACAACTAAGAGTTTCCTTCAGGAACTTTTAAACCAAAAATGTAACTGAGTACATTTACTCGAGTACGACACTCAAGTGCAGGTTTGGTAATTTAATGCTGTATTTCTTCTGCACATATGCCACCTTTTATAATCTACTACATGTATTTGACAGATAATACTCGACTAAATGTTAGGTTTGCACTTCTACATTACAAAACTGTCTGACCTACAATAAACAGTTTTACAAAAAAACGCATAAAATCTGACAGAATATTGTCTTTTTTATTCTGCACATTCTTCTTTCTGCTGCCTACATTACCCACAATTCCCAGCTGTGGACACTTCAGTGGGAGATTTGAAGTTTGTACGAGGAGCTTTTACACCCAATGCGATCTGGTGTCAGTCACATAAAGTAACTAAGTACATTTACTCAAGTACTACACTTACGTACAAGTTTTGGGTCATTTATTTGAGTATTTCTATTTTCTGCTACTTGATATTTCCACTCCGCCACATTTCAGAGGCAAATACTCTACTTTTGATTCCCCTGTACATTACTGTGCTAAAATTCAGATTAATATCACAAAACAGAATCATAGAAGACTAAATATGGGGCATTATTGTTGGAACGTTACCCTGATTATTAGCTTAAAATCTAAATGAGCTCCAAAGAGGAAATTTACAAACTACACAGCAGAAAATAACATTAAAGTGATGAACATATTAATGCACCAATAAATATAATCCAATAAGATAACATCAATCATTCTATTATACTGACTGCTTTCACTTTTGGTACTTTCACTATATTCTGATGACGATACTTTTCTATCTTTAAACATCTGAAGGCAGCACTTCTACTTTTTCACACTGTTTTCGGGTCATTTCCACTCACATACAGGATGTGAGCACTTCTTCTAGTTCTGTTTCTTAGGCAGAAACGCCTTCTGAAAGCGGACGTACAGTAGCCCTCCTGATGCCTTCCAGATGCCAGAGCTGACCGTGAATAAAGTCCGGTGGTCAGACTGATCGCGGCGGTTCTCAGGATTAAACTGGTGGTTTGTTGTGTTTGGGTGGCGAGTCCTTCCAAAAGTGCAGTAATCATTTGCTAAAAAAAAAAAACTGTAGCACACGTACACATGAACTCAAACTGGTGCAAAAAAAAGGTAACTGATGGTAATATATCAGCCACAAGGGTTCATTAGTTTAATGTTTAGACAGCACCTTTGAATGCAGGACTTTACTGTGCTGCTTTTACTTAAATAAATACTGACATATTCCGACACTAGGCCCGTGATGCCCGCTTCAACTGGCCGGTTGATATCATCTCATCCAACTAAAGTCTTGTTGCTGGTGTAGCGTTTATTGGGAGAAAAGTTCTATCATCCAGTAGTTAAAACATTCTTGGTGCATTTTGTTAAAACCGATGCCCAAAAGTTCAGCATAAACTTTGCAAACACCAGCTTTTTTGTCATTCCATCTAAAATACTGATATTTATAAAGATATTTGTGGATTTTTAGCTTCATGTAGTCAATACTTTCTGAGATGATTTTTGTTTTTTGTTCATCAACCCACTTTTAGAACGTTTTTGAAAATTGAGGCTGTTTGAACAACAATATCTCAGGAGCTGTTAAAGATAAAAGCCTGAAAATTTCACAGGTTTTACAAACTGTATCAGAATCACAATCTGCAGTATTGGACAAGTGGGTCAAATAATCTCTGATTTGAGCTGAAATAGGAAAGAAATGAAAGCCGTCAAGAAAACTCCCATATTTAAGGTCATATTAATGAATAAATTGATCATGCAGAAGCCAACTAGAGTTATTTTATGAACAAAGTGTAGCTGCATCCCATCCATCCATCATCTACACACCACTTAATCTTCACTAGGGTCATGGGGGGCTGGAGTCTATCCCAGCTGACTCAGGGTGAAGGCAGGGGACACCCTGGACAGGTCGCCAGTCTATCGCGGGGCTACACTTAGAGACAGACAACCAAGCACACTCACATTCACACCTACAGACAATTTAGAATCACCAATTAACCTCAGCATGTTTTTGGACTGTGTGGGAGGAAGCCGGAGAACCCAGAGAGAACCCACGCTGCACGGGGAGAACATGCAAACTCCACGCAGAAAGATCTCACCGGGACGCGAACCGGCGACCTTCTAGCAACGAGGCAACAGTGCTAACCACCGATCCACCTGTGTAGCTGCATGTCACAGTAATACAGAACAAAACATATCGAATACTTTAAGAAAGTTATTTTGTAAAACTTTCACAAGTGACTGGCACCACAAATACAAAAGTACTGGTCGATAGTCTGGTCCAAGTAGAACTGAGTTTCAAAACTTAAAAAAAAAAAAAAAAAGTGCATATTCGTCACTTTCAGATTGTGAATCAATGATATGATGAGAATTATAATAAAAATGAAAAAAAATAAAAAGAGTTCCTGAGATATTGTCATTCAAACAGCCTTTTTAAAAAAAATGCTAAAAATGATGGACGACTTCTTTCAAATGTTATTTCGGATAGAATTTGACATATGAATCCAAAATTTCACAGACACGATTTTAAATATCTATAGTTAAGGATTGAAAGGTTTCATGCTAATCAGACATGTTTGTGCATCACAGTTCAACAACCAACAAAGTCAATCATCTTGTTTGTTTTATCCTTCAGTAGTTCTTCTGCTGGGAGTTGATCTCCTTTCAGAGATCATATGAATACGAGCAGCAGCACTGGGTCTGTTTTCATCATCTCAGTAGGAAACAACCAGGTTCAAATGATTTAATGTGCTGCAGATACTGACTTCTCCGCGGTTATTTATGCCCCGCTCGGGCAGATAAGGTCAGCAGGTAGAGTGTATGTACTTTCTCGCTCTTTAATCTTGATAAACTGCTTTCTCAAGGTTCTACTTCCCGCATTCGAAGGTTATTTGCTACAAATCATAAACACGGCGGCACCCCGGGGGGGACGTTTTGGGCCCAAAAAGACTTCCTATGAAGGAACTCGAGGCGGAGATACAAATCACTTAACGTCTGGATGCGTCAGCCGCCGGGAGAGCAGCTCTTCCTGCTCACGGGGGCCGAGGGGACTTTCCAGACGGAGTTAAAAACTTGAGGGAGTGTCTCATCGCAAACACTGAGCGAGAGACACAATCAAAACACCCACACGGAGGCGGAGACGCACAAACAAACACCTCCAGCTTCCCGAGGGGGAACCAGAGCTGAATTAACATCAGCATCTGTCTGCTGCAGAGCGTCTGGCCACAGCGGACTTGGTTCCCCTCCAGCGCTGTGTGTAATCTATGGTTTCTAATGGAGTGGGCATTAGCTGCAGCCTGTGTAATTACAGTAAGTGTCACGCTGGTGTGTTTAAAAGACACACGCATGCACGCTTAGCTGCTTATAAAAGTGGTGATGGCCTCGTATAATCCACGCTCGGAAGGTGAAAAAAATTGCACTCAGAGCCCCGGAGATGAGGAACAGCTTGCAGATGATGGAAAAAAGAAAGCAAACGAGGTGTTACGTAAATGTAATAAAAGCGGCGCGTGATTTATGAAAGATGAACTATTGTTGTGCAGAAACACGCAGCCTCCCACGGCCTCCAAACAAAACCGCCCGCAACAGCAAATTAAAGCACGGTGGCTGTTTATGCAGCGCAAACCTCAGGTGACACACCGAGAATAATTTAACAAGCATCCAAAAACTGGAGCTTGTTTTTGTTGAATTTTGGGTTTTTTTTTGCACAAACATGAGCGTCGTGTGGGGAGCGTAATGACGTCTGAGAAGGTGGGAGGGAAACCGCCGCATGTTTGATAATCCATCAACAAATTACAGTCTTCTACGTAAATTTAGCAAGAAAATCAGAACCGAGGAAACCGATATTTTACCCAGAGTTATCATTTGAGGTAAATGTGTGCAGTTTAGCTCGACATCTTTCACAACAAGTATCAATTTTTAGTCCACAAGTCGGTTTCTTCTTACTGGAAATGAGATAAACAAGTGACAAAAGACACTAAGATGCTGTGTTAAATATGTCAATAATTCATTTTCTCCTAATTTAATGGGGATTTTAAGAAGTGACTCTAAAATTTTTAATAAATAAATAAAATCTGAATTGCAAAATTGTTTTTCACAACTCACTTACGGATGAATTGAACCTATTTAAAGTGAAAATTGATATTACCTGCACCAAATGTTCATTTATAGGTTTTTATTTCAACAACAGTGTTTTTTTCTGGTTTATTTAAAATGTAAATAAAGAATTTAAAGTACTTCTATGATGTTTGTATTTTACATTTTTACTTTAATAGGTCAAATTATTTTGAAATGTCACAAACTTTTAAGAAAATGCAGCTTTTATACCTTTCTGGTGATTTTATTCTGCGCTAGAGTATTTTTAATAAACTACAAAATGAGAAAAGCTGATGCAGAAGTTCTCTAGTCAGATAAAAGTCGTGGCTAAAACAAACAAACAAAACAAACACATGTTGAGACGCATAAAGCTGGTTAGCAACTGCAAAGGTATGAATAATTTTGGTATTTTTTCGTTGAAATGAAAAAAACCAAACTAAGAAATCGTTACAATTCATCATTAACATCTTTAACACGATGTCGTCTCATCTTCTGTCACCTGTTTATGTCATTTCCAGGAAGAAGAAGTCAACTGGTGGCATAAAAATCTGAGTTTTGTTTTGGGGTTGAAGAATTTGGAGCTTTACTGTAAATCAATAGTTTCAGTTCATCCTGAGGAAACTAAAATTAAATGTTCTTGTAGTTCCTAATTACTATATGCATATCCCTATTTTCTCAGAGTATGAATGTTGAAATGGATGATTGGAAACACTCATTCTGGAGCGGTCCTGATACCGATAGTGAGTTTGGCTTCAGTGTGTGAGCTCACCAGGGCATGAGTCTGCCGATCTTGGTCCATCTGCTCTTCGTAATGAAGAAGCCGACGACGGGGTCGGTCACGGCCCCCCAGGCTTTACCGATGAACAGCACCATGGAGGCCTGGAAGGCGTTGATCTGCAGAGTAGAACCGGGACAGATTGGACTTTTTAGGCCACTTTCAAGCACAGAACTCCCGTTAATTCACATACAGGAGCCACACACACTTTACTACACACTCCTCGTTCTCCTCCGTTTACCTGAGCGACATCGAGCAGGTAGATCTGCAGGAAGAAGGCCGTGGCGCTGGCTGCCACTTCCTTCGGTGCGCCGCCGATCGCAAAACACAGCTTACTGCATAACGACAGCTTCTGGCTCAGGTCGGTCTGGGAAGGCAAAGGAAACAAAAATTTACTTCACAGGTGACGTCTCCAGTTGATTATTTACAGCAAGACCAGTTCATTTTGTGTTGCTTTATTTGTAATTTTCTGTTTAAATGTGCAAATATTGGTGCTGATTGTTTAAATATACACATGGCAGCAGATAGTAAGACTAAATTACAACATAAAGACAACATGGAAGCAGCTTGTAAATCTGCACATTAATAACAACATATAGACCCGTATGTGCACCTACCAGTGAGTCCACATCTCTA